TGAGGCCCTGGGTTCGATTCCTCAGCACCACATAAGCAAAAAGAAAAAAGCCAGAAGTGGCGCTGTTGCTCAAGTGGTAGAGTGCTATCCTTGAGCTGAAGAGCTGAGAGACAGCGCCCAGACCCAGAGTTCAGGCCCCACGACTGGACCAAAAAAAAAAAAAAAAGAAAGGATCCAAGTGATCACTAATACTTTTCTCATGAGTTTGTAAATTCAGGTTATTCATGACTGTCAGTTCAGAGTTAACTTAAACTTCCAAACAGCTAATATTATAAACTTCTCTTTAACCTAACTAAAGAAAGGGAAAGAATGTTAAATGTATGTAGATGCCCCGTTTGGATATTCGGCCCATTCTCTTTAAAGTGCCCATCATGATACAGATTCATGTTCATCATCTTCTACCCAAATGCTAATCAGCACCAAAAAAACATTCAACAAAGGGAAAGAGGAGACTGATCAAGGCAGTAAGGTTGATGGGATACATTGTTTGTATATATGGAAATGTCACAATGCACCTCCCTTTGTACAATTAATATATGGAATAATTTTTTGTTGTTGTTGGTTGTGGGAGTTGAACTCTGGGCCTGGGCACTGTCCCTCAGCTCTTCAGCTCAAGGCTAGCGTTCTACCACTTGAGCCACAGCGCCACTTCCAGCTTTTTTTGCTTATGTGGTGCTGAGGAATCGAACCCAGGACCTCATGCATGGAAGGCAAGCGCTCTACCACTGAGCCACCTTCCCAGCCCCTGGGAAGCAAAGCATATCAGGCAAGAAACTTGAAATATTCCACAATGCTGAACGCTTCCATAGACGGCTATCAACCTGTATTCTTTGATCATCTTATATCACTGCGAATGACATATATTGCATAGTTTGAAAAACGTGAAAGAAAAAATCCTTCAACATCTGCAATTAAAGTTTTAAAAAATGAGCCATATAGTTAGGCTAAAATGTAATGAAAACCAGATTATTCTGTTCTGCATCTCTAGTTTGAAAGACATGGATCCTTAATACTATATAAATGTGATAATACTATAGAAATGATTTGTTTCTACCATGACCTTTATTTTGCATGGCTAGATTTTTTTCCCAGCTTCCTAAGAACACAGTAACCATAGGCACTATTAATAGTTCTGTCACTACTTCTGTCTTAAAAACTCACACTAAGACTAAAGCTTCATTGAAACCCCTAGGAAGTTACACATTCATAAATCCTATTATTACAGTTATATTACTGCTTTAAAATAAACTTCTGACACTGAGTTAGATGGCAGCAGGCTAAATGATAAACACTAAGAATAAAGTTCATGAGTCAGCATTTCAGTTCAGTTTCTGAAGTGGATGTGTGAAGCAAGGACAGACCAGCAGAAGTGCCAAAGGTGGCCATCTGACTAGCAGCATCACTCCTGACCTGTGACTGGGAGAGGTTGGGTAAGGACTAGAAGGCTCATCTCCCCATTTCCCTCACAGCAGGAGTCTAGAGCATCTCCCCCTGGAACACGACCACCCATCTCATAAGCCTCTGACTTCTGTTAACACAGGACATTTGCAAACTCTTGTTTAAATGCCTTCTGCCACTGTGTTTTTCAACTTAACATGAGTCCATTTTACAACAACTATCTAATAGATTAAAACTAAAATTCCTAAACATTGCCCACTAGTGGGTAGAATCACATTTCAGGCAGACATGACAAAAGTCTAGCTTTTCCTAATTTAATCTAGTGGATCTTTAAGCAACGTAAGCAAGCAAAGACAAAAGGATGGGAAAAAGGAAAAAGAGGAGAAAAGACACTTTTGCAAAAAAAACTATTATAGTTTTTGCTCTGTTTGAGTTCATTTTACAGCCAATCTTTCCAAAAAGAAATTTAATCAACAACAGAAACTTGGATACTTTATTTCATTCATACAAATTTAACAAATTTAAGAAATTTAAGAAATACCAATGCAGGGTTTTCAAGAAAAAGAGCAAGCTGTAAGATATGCCCGTGCTCTTAAGAACACTAAAAAAGCGAGCAGGAGAAGACAAAACAGGTGCACAAATCAATCCTAAGAACCCAAAGCAGCAGGTCTAAATGTAACCAAGAGAAAAGCATCAGTAACCTCAACCATTAAAATCCATAAATAAGTTATTCACAGTAAAAAAGAGTTCTGGTATGATATAATGAATACTAAGAAGCATAATAACTCAGAAATTTGGATTCTAATCATCACTTTCCAAAGGAAGATTTTTTTTTTCATGAACAGGAAACAGCACCTGCTCTACTTGCTTAACTGCTGTGAGGATGAAATCAGCTCACAGAATCTTAACTTCACAATAATTAAGTCTCCTCATAGGTGGCCAGTTATTCTACTTCTTCCGGAGTACTTCCAGTTAAGGAGAATTTCATTACTTCTCAAGATCTGTTACTACATTCTGGACAGCTCTGACACTTAGAAAATTCTCCCTGTGTGAAACCAGTCTCTTGGAACACTCCATCTTCTGGTACTACAGGGAAAAAGCAAAACATGAAGCAACTGGAAAGCCAAAGTATCCATTTCCAATAGTCTGAATAAAGGAAAAGACACTTTTGTCAGAAAAATTAGTTCCTTTTAACAAGGAAATTTTAGGAAAGGCTCCCACAAAGCAGGCATACTCTGTTCTTGAAGATGAGAAGAGTTCTGACTCGTGGGGCTCAAGCTAGGAGCTTCATACAAGTCTTTTGTTTGGGAGACCAACAAGAGAACACATGAAAGAGAGGAAAGAAGTTCAGAAATCTGGGAGTCAGAATTGGAAATGAAGAGAATCCAAGATGGTGGGGGGGGGAGGAATTTCAGAACTGCCAATTGTGTGTGCCTATTAACAACGACTAAGAAGTTTAAATCTTCTGAGAGAAGGGCAAACGAAATACAGGACTTAGGTATACTTATACATGCAGTTTTGGCATCTTGACACTGTCATACTGATTATTCCTCTGCCTTCCAAAGGCCACTTTGTGCAAGCCAAAGCACGTTTTCCAGAAAAGTGAGAAGCGCAGTGAACAATCCATATGCATTGTACTTGGCAAAGAAACCACAGGGTGTGCCGGGCTGAGTCTGGATGAGCATTCGGGGGAAGGGGGAGGGAGACAGGCTGTTTCCACAAAGCAGGGGCCGACGAGATCATTCTCAGGGAATACAAAAGAACTTTCTACGCTGCAATGCTCAAGAAGGAGAGAGAGAGAAAGAGAAAAAGAAAGAAAGAAAGAAAGAGAAAGAGAGAAAGAAAGAAAGAGAAGAAAGAAAGAGGAAGAAAGAAAGAAGGAAGAGAGAAAGAAAAACTTTCTACTTGGGATGAGTATGTCCAGTGGGGCACATCTGGTCCCCGGGACGCTGACCCTGGAGCAGCATCTCGATGCTCCGGGCTCCCGGCGGGGCTCTGCGTCTCCCTTCCCCCATATGGAGCTGGGCGAGGCCAGGCCTCACCGGGAAAAGGGCGCAGGCGGTCGCCTTCCTCCGGCGAGCCTGGGCCGACTCCCCGCCCCCTCCCCCTCCCCGCGTCGCCCCTCCCCCCCCTGCCCGCGCCTGGACGGAGGGCGGCGCCCCGAGGCTGGTACCGAGGCCTCGCCGGCCGCTGCCCCCGCCCCATCCCCATCCCCGGCAGCTCACCTCAGCCCTGGCGGGCTCGGGGCCCTGCCCGGCCGCGGGCTGGGGCTGCAGCTGCTGGGCGGGCGCCGGCGGCTCCTTGTTCCGGTGGCTGAGGTCTTCATCCGGGCCCGCCCGGACCCCGATCGGGGCCCACAGCAGCGGAAGCAGCAGGAGCAGAAGCAGCCGAGGCACCGAGGCTCGACCGCTCCCCCGGGCCGCGGCCGCCATCCCGCCCGCCGAGCCCGCCGCGCACCGGCGCTGCAGGAGGAAGTGCGGGCGACTGGAAGCCTCGACCCCCGAGCCACCCAGTCCGTCACGCCTCGCCGCCGCTCAGCTAGCGGCCCACACCATGCGGGAGACCGGGGAGAGAGGCGCGAGGCCGGGGCAGGCCCTCGTCGGCAGCTGGCCGCGAGGGGGGACACTCCTCTCCGCGGCGGCCACACGACTCCTCCAACTGCCTCGCCGCTGCCCGTCCCCAACTCCCCCATGCCCCGCCCCCTGGACATCCCCTTCTCCCATTGGCTCTGCGTCGGCCTCGACGTCGTGACGTACGCGAGCAGGTTGAGGTGCGGCTCTCTCGCTCCTCCCATTGGACCCGGCGGGCCCCTTCTATTGGACACCGCGCGCCTGGTAAGTGCGGGCCCCGGTCCTCTCCCCGCATCCTTCCAGATCCCAGCCCGCGACCCCCTTTCTGCTCTGGGCCCCTCCGTCCCAGGACTGCAGGGCTATTACTTCTGCTCCTTCCTGAGCCGTGGCCCTAGTATACGGACTCGCCTCTCCCCACTTTTAGCCTTTATTAGAAGTCAGATGAGTCCCAGCGCCCAGACGTACGTGGCAGTTGCTTGCAGGCGCTGCCACACCCATCTGGATTCGTCCGCCCCGGGGATTCTCTGCTCCCAGACCTGCTGCCGAGAACGTGCTCTAGGGGTCGACTGCTTTTCATTTCTTAAACCTCTGAAGTGTGACTTGGAAACAGCGTGAATAATTCCAACTGTTGTTGTAAGATACTGTTTTGCCCATAAATACCCCCCCAGACCCAAGGCAGCTAACATTTATCCTTGTATGCCTGTAGTTTGGGTTGTCTTGGCTTTGTGCTGTATCTTGAACCGACCTCTTCTGTTGCTGGGCTTTTGAACTTGAGTGTTTAGGACTTTCGCAGGAAAGTCCTAGTGTGGGAAAGATCAGAAAAAAAGGGAAGCGTAGTTGGTTATGCTCGATTTTATAAACAGAAAACCTGGGCGACATAATCTCTAGAAGAGAGAGGAGGGGGGTAAGGAGGGAGGGAGGAAGGGAGAAAATGAACCGAATACTGCCAGGCAGTATTCTAATCACTTTGCGTATATTTGCATTTATTAAATATGTGCTCTGAAGCCAGGCGCTGGAGCCTCATGCCAGTAATCCTAGCTACTCAGGTGGCTGAGATCTGAGGATCGCAGTTCAAAGCCAGCTGGGGCGGGAAAGTCAGTGAGGCTCTTATCTCCAATCAACTACTCCGAAAAGGCCTGAAGTGGCACTGTGGATCAAGTGGTTGAGCTCTTGTCTTGAGCACAAAGAAGCTGAAGGACAATGCCAAGGCCCTGAGTTCAAGCCACAGGACCAGCACAAAAAAAAAAAAAAAATCTGTACTTTGTAAATCTAAGGAACTAAATCTACCGGAACATGAAGGTTATCCTTTCCTTGCTTGTGACAAGGTGGAGAAACCTAGTTTATGTTCACTGAATGTGCCATATGGTAGAGTTAATGAAGCTGTTATCCATTGTAAAGTTGGGCTCCAACCTCCAAAACCTGTCCAGGAAGATCTTCCCAAGTCTTCTGCAACACTTCCCCTCACAGAACTCAAATTTCTTCGTTCTTGCCATAGCTTATACATGATTCAGGCATGGTCTGCAAAGAAGGCTGGAGGGCCAATGGGAGGTACTAAAGGGAGTGAGTGGCTCAGTCTAAAAGACAGGAATAAGGACTAGTGTGACAAAATGCTCTGGGGCCCTAATTCCTGGAAGATGCTTAGCTTGTTTCCTGGGCTCTCTTAAAGGAAGGGCTCCTGGCTGAATTCCAGTCACTTCACCTAGATGAGGCAGAGACTCATGGGATATAGCTGTAAAATGCCTCTGAACATGAAGTTGCTGAGGGCTGGGGCAGCAAAGGTGTTTAGAAGAAAGGGAAAGTAAATGGAGATACAAAGTATAAAGCATTGTCCTTGGAGGCCAAATGGCACAGTGGGATCAGCGTAACATCACAGTCTAGATGACAGTAGGATTTCTCCAACCTCAGTATCACCTTGATCCCAGGGCTCTAAGGCTCTGCAGGGTAGGCTCCTGGTATCAGATTCCAGCATGAATCATCTACCTCCTCGGTCCATGTGCAATGCTGAATCACAGCATTCACCGCCAGGAGAATTTAGAGTCTATTAGCCTTCTATTCTTCACTGGTAACTAATTCTCTTTTAAAAAATGAAAATAAAAACATACTTGTTTTACTTTTCAGTGCTAGAAAGCAAGCCAAGGGCTTTATACATGCTAGGCAAGTGCTCTACCATTGAGCTATATGTCTAGTCTTTTTAATACCTTTCTTGAAGAACAAAAGAAGCTACCTTCTTGACTTCTACCCAAAAAGCTTGTGAAACGCTCCCAAATTTCTAAGATGAAAATGTTGGTACTCGTTTATATAGTCTCATTGAAACATAGTCTCCAACAGGCATCCTTATGACAAGAAACCCTGCTGCATGTTTATTGCATTGTTCTGGTCTATACGTGCTAAACCAAGCACTTTGCACATACGAGCTAAGCATAGCTGCTACCACTGATCTATACTGCCCTAGTCTATTTAAATGAACACCATTTCTACATTATGGCAGCTTTCACTACTCTAACAAATACAAGAGACAATCAAGTTATAAAGAGAAAAGGTTATTTGAGTACTAGTTTCAGTGGGCAGTTTCAGATAATGATCCATTAACCCTGTGGCTTTTGAGCCCGTGGCTGGGCAGCATATCATAGTGAGAGCATGTAGTGTAGTTAGCTGAAGTCAAGGCTGGAAAATGAAAAAAAGGAAAGCACTGGTATTCTACCATCCCCTTTGGGTACGTGCCCCAAATACCCAAAGACCAACCACAGATGACAACCAAGTCTTACCACAGAGGCTTTTAGGGAATACTTAAGGTCCAAAATAAATGGCCCCTCCTTACTTCTAGATGGTAAGGTTGTGCCTGTTACCTTTATGTTCCTACCATCAGGAAGGTCGTTTGGCCTGAGGAGAACAATTGTTATCATTGCAGCAGTAGTAATTTTTTTTTTTATCGAGTGCTTGTTTTGGATCCAAGCAGAGCAGTAGCTATGTTTTATGAGTTATTTCATGAGGTAGAAACTAGTCTCCTTTTTATAAAGGAGAAACATAAGTCAAGGAATTTTTTTCCTATCAGCTGGTGAATAGTACAATTGTGTTTGATATCTGCATGTAGAATTTAATGGTACCATACTGGCTGAAAACCCAAACATAGAACCAGTCAACTAATTCATGGTGAATTGTGAAGATGTATTTCTATTACCTGTTAATGTCCTTTCTCAACTCTAGATCTCTGAGAAAAATTATTTCCTGGCCTCTCTTAACCTTGCCACCACTATGATGGAGAAATATGATTGGACAGAGTAACCAGACATATTAGACTTACTTCTCACAGAAATGAGTCCACAGGGGAAAACAGTATCTGCTGACCTGAGATCTACATTGAACCTAGTGTTCCCTGAAATGGATTAAGAACAGCTTATGAACCTGGACATCAGTATTAACCTAGCCCACCTGGCTTAAAAGAATTTTTTTTTGGACTGGGGTTTGAATTTAGCGATCCATGTTTGGTGGGCAGGTACTCTACTACTTGAACCATACATTCAACATTTTTACTTTACTTTTTCAGATAGGGTCCTCAGGCCAGCCTCGAACCACTCTGCCCAGCTTGTTAGTTGAGATGAGGGTTCACTCACTCCTTGTCCAGTTGATTTCAAAGCAAAATTCTCCTCGCCTCCGTCTCTAGAGGAGCTGGGATTACAGGTGTGCACCATCATGGCAGCTTATATTTTATTCACCATTATTACACAAGACCAGTGTGCAAATACTACCTGAAAACAGAATATTTTCTATAAACAATAATAAATATTAAACTAGAGTTAATAAGAATTCAGCAATTCTCAAACAGATATTCATCAAAGTGAGGTATGTCTAATGTGTCATTTGCTAAAGAAGTTAGTGAAGTAGAAAAAAACTCATCAAAAATATCAGTCTTCATGGGACTCTCCAAATTTAATGTTCTCATACAGGTGTTATTTGTGAGTGAGTCAGGCTGAGCTTCACACTGATTTCTCTTGGTAGGACTGCAATAGTTGTGGTCCTGTTTGAGATGTGTCTGGGGCACACTGGTTAATTCACTAGGTACTGCTGGAGTGTGGTCATCTCCCATCTCCAGATACGGCAAGTCTGTTTCTGCATCTTCTGGCAGCTCTGTTGATATAGGCGTAGGAGACAGTAATTCTGCTAAAATTTCTTCGTGAGTTTGACCATTGTATGAGACACTAGGCACAGGAGTACATGCAGTCTTTTTATCAGCAGCATCAATTTGATATTGTAGTTCTTTTAACAAGTCTTCTATTGATTCACAGTCATTTGGAGACCCATAATGGGACCCATGTTCTACATTTTCATTTGGAAGTGTCCTATCTGGGGAAGAAGCTGTAAGAGCAGCTAATTTCTTCTTCTTTGCCCTTAATTTCTTAAGAAGTTTCAGTCGAAGTTTATGAATCTGACTTTGCACGGAGTCTCCATGGTTGGCTGGAGAGCTGCTACTTTCATTTCCATGTGAATGGCCATTGAGGTGCATTCCCTGTACAGTGCTTCCCTGGACCTTCCAAAGTCCTGCAGCAGCATCCCCACCCGTGTGTGGATGAGCCACGGTGCTGCCTGCTGGGGGAGGGGCTTGGGAAGAGACTGGGGGAGGGCTGCTACATCATGGCAATTCTTACACTTTGTTTTTATCTTTAAGTTTTCAGAAGTAGAGAAGAAACGACTTATTTCCTCAGCTCTCTAAGAGACTGCCCCCAAGCTTCCTAGAATAATTTACAAGGGTGAATTAAAGGGTTTGTTTTGGCTGTTTTTGGATGTTGAATTAAACAGTCCACACAGTAAAAGCTGGTTAGTGAAGACACTGGGCAGGGGAAAATGAGGGAAGAATGGAAGCAGAAACCAGAAACTACCCCGAGTCAGCTGAAGATTAAAATGAAAACAAGCTGAAACGTGACAAGCTG